ATATAAAAATAACGCTAAAAAGAAAAGATCGACGTTTCGAACTCCTTCATGGTGTCATTTTCAAGATCAAATGATGAAGTATAGAATATACAGCAACTATAATCAATAGAAAAAAGCTAATCTACAATGTCAAAGTTCATAACAGTGGGATTTTAATCCCAGTGTTAGATAAAAAGTTTTACTTGACAGAGTCACATTGTTTATTCAGACTGGGTTTTAATTGTCTAATAAATAGCATTTCATGAATGAGACAGTCAAATTTGTTCCTACATTTCTTTAAAATGCTGAAACATGACTCAATACTGCTTGGGCTGATATTATGGTCCTTAGCATGTTGTCCTAACAGAAATCTTTTATGTTCAGCAATACGTTGGTAGAGGTGTCGGTTTGTGTATCCGACATAACTTGCATCACACAAGTCACATTTAAATCTGTACACAACACACTGCTGATTTATGATTGTAGGTTTTCTTTCTGTTTTCTTAATTTCATCACTTATTTTTCTGCTTGTGAAAACAGGAAAAATGTTTTGGTCTATTTTGTTGCTTAGTTGGCGTAGTTGACGCTTAACTGAGTTGGCAGATTTCTGGTCTTTGAATGGTAGAATAATTCGGATGGGAATTTCCTTCTCATCGGCTTCGATATTACTGAATTTATTATCAGTCTCTAGAGTTGACTTAAACATTTGAATTGTGGGTGTGATGAGGTCATCTGTGTATTAAAGGCGTTTGAAAATCCTTCTTAGGTTATCACATTCCTCGTTGAATATGTGGCTGGATTATGATAGTTTTTCAATTTTTTTTCGCGATAAATGGAAGTTAATACATTTTTATTTACATGGATCATCACAAAAATATATATATAATGCATGTTCTTTTTTTTTTAAATAAGGTCTGAAAGTCAGTGTTTTTTCGTTTCCATGACAACGAAGGCTAAAAAATTAAACAAATGTCACAGATATGCTTTTTACCCAAGTATCTATTCATGGTAAAAATTTGAGAGAAATCCATTTTTTGACATCTGCCACCAAATCTTTTGATTTTTATGGACAACCATTCTTAATAGTTAATAACAATAAAATGAAACGTGAAGGATGACTAATATAAATAAGTCTAATTTAAATATATTTTACAAATAATATCAATCTTTTTTTTTTATAACAAATATAATTTTGAAATTTAGTCCCAGGCATTTTTTACCTTAATAACTGGGAAGTAGATCCTACAGTTGATATTTATTTCATCCTGATCCTTGTCGTAAATGTTAATGGTCACGATGTCAGATGCAATAATTGGCAAGAAATTCCCACTGCTGTAAAATTGAACGTATTGTTAGGATCGAATATTCATTTATACAAACTAAACATAAAATTTATTATATTTTAATAATGATTGTAAAACAAAAATGTTCATACTGTACAATATCATAGCATTAAACAAGTAAAACAAAATAGATGCCTTGTCTGAAAGTGTTGATCTTTAGACCACTATTCCAGGCATATAACGGTAAGTATACTTATATCTAAATACATAGAAACGAAGTCTGTTTAAACAAAAAATTTTCTCACAAGTTTTGAACCATGACACTCCTAATTTACTCGGGGTTCAAATCTGTGACATCACATGATTGTTTTCTATCACGACATCTACACTCTCTTTAAAATC